ACTGTTTCTGCGTGCCTTAAACGTGACAGAATAATGGATATCTCCAGAAAGCTGGACTTTTGGTAAGAGAATGGTTTCAAGGGAGAAATTGTAGATGTTATTTTGGGTGAAATCAGAGCCATTTTTATATTACATGTAAGTACTCCGGCATAGTGCATTGGAGGGCGAGGTAGGGTAATCCATCGGGGCGCGGGGCGCTCAACACTTTCGGAATCACGACAATTCCATTCTAGCACGTTGACGACCGCGTGGTACGACGTCGTGCCACACTCTTTCGGCCGCGTGGCACGGTATGTCATGATGTCGTGTCACAATCGCGCGGTCCCACACCCAGACAGCAAAAACGAGCAACGTGTTAATACTATGTTTAATCTTGTTCTTCCACGAACAAAATGATTTATACATTCTGGAGCTTTTGCTCCTGCGAAAAATTGCATTAGGGTTGCTGAGACGAATTACTGCGCCGCGATACCCACTACCCCCCCCCCTCAGTACACCGCGCCCACTTATGCTGAAAATTCAAATACAGTTCTATCCTTGTACCCGCAGTGTCAAGCAACTTTCTAAAGCTGGAAATATATGTAATCCGAAACCAATTTCTCATCCAGTCACCTCACTGCGCCGCTTTACGAAACGCTTTCTTTTTTTCGCAAATCTTCTCCGAAGCGTTCACCTGGTGGCAAATCCGATTATGAGCGATAAAATGTGTGTCGTTCGTTCGTGCACAACAGATTGAATGGACCAGGACTCACCTCTCCCATTTCTTCTCGACAAAACGAAAAATTGTTAATCGTCCACATGTAGTTGAATTTGACGACTTTCACCTGGAAACAATAACCATTCAAAAAGTCCCTCAACTCTCTTTCTCAACGCGTTTATACTCAGCGTTTGAGCAGAATCAATGAGTCTCCTAAAAGAAAATATAGGTTTTGGTTAGGAGAAACGAAGAAACGGAGAACCCGCGAAAACAGTAACTTGTGCTTCGTTCAGTTTAGCTGTCTTCTAGCTTATGCTCATCTTACAACATTCCGTAGCATTCGATATGTATCTAACATCTTCCGCGGATTCTTTAATTCTACCAAAATTCTTACTGCGAATGCAGTCCTAGCCCAGACGCAAAGTTTACGCACTGTTTTCTTTTTCCTTCACCTAGCCAACTGGATGAGAAGCAGCAAGTCACCGTGCGACGTCGCGCCCGAACGCGTACAAAGTTGTATACTTGATCAGTGTCGAATGTTCGGTGTTCCAATTGAAGTGGGCGCGACGTCGCGCGTTGACTTCTTGCTGCACACCCTTCCGATTGCATTGTCGACGTTTTGATGCCGATTGCGGTCTTCTAACAATGCAGACCTCATTATGTTCTTCCTGCATGCCCATAGAATGTCGCATACTTTTGGAGTATTTAAGCAGCAAATAAAAAGCAAGCGAATGGAGCCCGTCTTTCCTATGCCACGCATTTCATTTCCACGCTGCACCACTTTGATAGCGGATGGCAATATTAAAAATGCTGCGAAAAGAGGGTCAAATATCCCAGACACACAAAGGGCTCGCGGACAGCATAGCTGCTCTAATTCCCTGTCACTTGTCCCACTTCCCCATAAACTTGGCCTTGTCCCAGTTTCTTTTGGGGCAATTTTTGGTTCCGTGACCGAATAGACACGAACGAGGCAGAAAACTATACTATTCAGTAATAAGTAAATATTACGTCGAAAAACTGGGGCAATTCATATAGCTGTATAAACAAGGTCACGGCGCAGCGCACATGCAATGCGAATGCCCTTGGGCATGCACTCCCAACAAAATACGTCACACTGTTTCTCGCTGGAGAACGGGGGGGGGGGGGGGGGAGAGAAAGGAGGGATGCAAGCTGTCATAATTGCAGAGCTACTAGCACAGGTAGCATCATGCGGCATCACGAGCATCAAAAAGCGCGTGGAATCGATTTTTTGACGCCAAGCGCGACGGGTGCCATACAGTCTGTTACTGCGACCGCGGAAAGTTGAGTAAACTTAATCATATATTTTCAAATGTATCCGCCTTTCCAGCAAAATGCTTTCCAAAAAAGAATAGCGCATCCAATAAACTTCTTGGAAAATGAGTCCCAAGATCATGTCAACACTTCAAATAACCCCGATGGCGCTTGCAATCGAAAAAGGAACGCAAACGCGTAAAATCAATAACCATCTTTTGAAACGCCTGCTGAAGGGACATAGGAAAATAGTGAACTGCGAAAGCAATCTTAGTAGGACGAACCTGAGTATGGCACCAGTTCTCGGCAACTGGCATAAGAGGATCGGGATGTCCATGTGAAGGTGAGGGTAACTGTGCGACGTGTGCCCTGAGCTGCGAGGTGGCTGGTAACCTTTGTCTGGACACCGCTAAATCGCTGAGTCGATCCGTCATCGAGACATCCGTCGCCACTGTCGTCCTCTTTCATTTGGACTCGATCAGTCTCCAGAAACGCGACATGTCGATTTGGTTTGTCGTCGACAGTAACTATAACAAATAGTGTAAAAATTCGATCAGGAAAACCTAGAGGGACAAGAAAGCCCAAATGTCGGTCTCAGTGCTACACATGCCGCTAGAAGGGTAAAATCATGTTGTCCAAGAGAAGATCTGCGGGATAAGAGTTCAAGCCACCGGGGAAAGAATCAATTGATGATGATAGGATTGATTGTGATAAATGAAATAGGGTCAAAAGAACGGAAAATGTAAGGACCATAGAAACAGGAGTCGGATTCTGAGACCGAATGTGAGCTAACGTAATGAATCAAGCCCTGGTTTACGCAGCGTGATACCCTACCCTACCCACAAAGATAGAGAAGCCACATTTCAAGGAGAGCGAACTTCGGAGAAAATAACACTGCTTTCCAATCCCGGTGTTCCTTTTCCTATATATTAGTCTCAAAAAAAAGGAGGAACCCCGGTTTAGTAAGGTTAGTGAGAAATGTCAAAAACCAGCGTGTCCCCCTACTCGATTCACATGGCACCGATATCTGGTTACGTAACCGCAAAATGTCAACATTCACTCTGCCAAAATAAAAAATAATAATAAAGCATGCTGTCGAAGAAAGTAAAAAGACAACAGATTAAATATCAGTCGAAAGATGCAGTGTTTAGAACGTAAGTGCACAAAATATTTTTAAGGGCGCGCCGCCGCATTCCTCTACAGCGTGATGACATTTTGTTTTCCTTTTTCGCAAAATGAGCAATATCTCCAAGACAATTTCATCTTGGTTTTTACCAAATTGCCGTTGCGCACCTCAGTCAAATGAGCGCGATTTTCCCAAAAGGAAACAAACTTCAACGATTGCGACAATTGTTCCAATAGCATGGTTAGAAAGGGGGAGAGGGCAGCAACAAGGCAAAATTATGAAGAAGAATGCATAGCAGGAAGTGGCTCTCTTCACGAGGTGCTGGGAATCATAGAAAGTAAGGAAAAGGTGGCAAGAAGGTCCTCTCTAAAAAAAACCAGACCTCACAGTTGATCTACCGAGTCGGGAACGGGGCGACAAGGCGGTCGGTGCGGCCACATCTGGCCGACAAGCGCCACTCTGTCGCCGTACCCACGAATGAGATGAACATAAACTTTGATCAATTTCAATTCACGTTCAAGAATAGGCCATGTGAAAGTCACGATCTCTCGTCAAACTTTGCTTGACGATCGATTCAGGCGCATTCATCCATGAAACTCTTCTCTGACGATTCTCTCAATAGAAGTTTCACCAGAAAAGTACGAAACAAGGAGGATCTGGGATGAAATGCTCGTGCGCCACGCAACCGACTTCTGTTTAAAATCGTAATAAAACAATGCTCCCATTCTCTCGATCATTTGCCAATGCAAAAGGCTTGAACAATTGTTTCACATTATAATAATATATGGACGAATGTGAAAGCAACTAGATACGGTATTTCTGCCGCGCCCGTTGTGCCTAACTTTGCTGGCAGTGGCCCGTTACCTCCTGATAAACTCTGACTTTTTCGCAACTGCCCTACTTTTCTGTAGAAATTCCGCTTTCTTAAAATAAAGCATTCATCGATGCACAGGTCCAATTGACCCAGGTTCAGAGGATCCCAGACTATATATCGGTGAGTGTCGCCACATGTCACTACGCTACCACCGCTATCCGAATCATTGTTAGATTGATTCCAAAACTCGATTCCTAAAACTTTCAAAATTCCTTGAGTAGGGGCCATTCCATATAGAAAAGAAGGAACGCTCACAGTCATAAAAATGTTCTTCCTTCCAGTTCAAATATTCCAGCAGGATAAAAACATCAAGGCATTGACTAATGGTTGTACACCATTGCCATTGCGCCTCCGAACAATCCCCTTCGAAGATTCAAAATCAGTTTCGATAATAGATATTGTAGCCGGCAAGGTTATGTGGATGCCCGTGACATTCAGCGCGTTATGGCCTTGGCTAAGGATCTCGACCAGGGCCATAGCCCGACTGTGGCCTTGCATCCAGTCAACAATTGCCAACTATCACATTGGCTGTCTACAAATACCAGATTTAAATCAAGTTATTGCTCTTACGCCCTGCTTACGCTTTTTTTCGGTAAATTGTCGCTATCCTGGAACAAATTTGGGACGCAACCGTAACCCATGGTTGCCGCCCCTAATTACCCTTCTGTTCCTTCCACATACGCCCTCCTAGAGGCGAGCACGTCAACTTCGGTAATTTGATACAGCACTCGCCGGTTTCCTATTACCCCCACCCTTTCCGGCGCTCATTCCACCTCCACATATTATTCGAACAATTGATTAACTAGTAACCTGCATTTACTAAGTCAGTCAATACCAGGCAAAAGCTACAAAAAAAATTGGCACGTTGCCACGAAGCGGGCATGAATTGACAGCGATTAATTTCTGTATATCTATAGAAATGAGCTGAATGGGCTTATTTAAATCAGAAAAAGCGCCGGCGTGCTTAGGCGAGGGAGGGGGAGGGGGGCACAGCGGAGAGCCGAACGCACCCAGATTGCCCTCCTGGTCCCCTAAGACTAAGGCTTTGGTAAGGGACTAGAAAAGAGGGGAGGGAGGGGGAAGAGGGCAAATGATCAACTTTTATTTCCCTGAAGTTCATCCTCTCCCCCCAATTAGTCGCTCAAGCGTCACTATCTCTCCCCTTCTTCATCTCTCTAAGATAAGTACACTAGTGCTGCTGCGAAAACATTCAACAATTCTGAAGAGAACCATAAACAAACCCTACAACCAGACACGAGCCAATTCAGGGCCAAATGTTCACGGCCAGACCTGTTCACAGCTTCGCACTGTCACATTTGACCAGAATTAGAGCACAAAACCGAAAAGAACACGACCAGGAGAGGACCATATTGACCGATCCCCTGGGCTTGTGGCTAGGTGGGTAATCGCCGGCGGAGTAACCAGAATGACAATCTTTGGCAATCAATTACAGCACTTGGCACTACAGTACGTCATTCTGCATCTGCAATCGGAAAGCATTTATCAAGTTGGAGCGAACGGGGGAAGAAAACGTGGACAACTCGACCTACTCGACGCTTTTCAATGGAACAGGAATCGCAAAGATAACCCAGCGACAAACAAGCTGACCCGCCTGTTTCCACAACGCCTGCCATAACAAGAGCACAATTTTAACCAAGGGAGAATCCACGCGAACCCAGGGTGGCGGCAGATCAGAACACGTGCTCCTCGCACAGGACAACTGTTACAAATAGTTCATTAGATCATGGAAAAATAAGACAGCCCTTTCCTTCGACAATTAATCACAGCAGAAGGCCAACAGTTTCTGCGACTGGGTAACGGATCACCTTAAAACTTAAAGGTTAGGGTTGGATGAAGCAAAGTATGACTTAAAACAGAGGAGCAAGCGGGTCAATCTTGCCCCATCCCCGTTGCGCGTGATTCACGGCACTCTTCTAGAAAATTTCTTATAATATGCCAACTGTCACATGACAGCACGAGAGGACAACTGTCATAATGACTAAATGGATGGAAAAACGCCAAGTCAGCCCCTGTTCAATTCAATTTGCATGCTCCTTCGTATAGATAACCATCACGACTAGCCATTTACTGGCGCCTAAGTCAACAAACAAAGTCGCTACTGGTAATGGCGATTTTAATTGGACACAGACTGGTTGAAAACCAGGGAAACAAGAATCATCAGCCCTCCCTGTAGGCCTGCTGTTCGAACTCCCCCCCCCCGTCTTCGCTACACGAACGCGTCTAATTCTGTCCCGAACGGCGCGCCATTGCAATACACACACTTGTTCGCCACAGTACGACTCGGAGCACTGAAAGCGTTTTTCCCGAATGGAATGTGGATATGACTCAGCTGGGCAAACGTTCGACATCTAGTCATCTTCCAGACGCTCGTAATAAATCAGGAAAAACGGAGAAGGAAGGGAAAAAGAGGAAATGACATCGGTAGCCACCACATCAGCAGGGAAAACAAGCCGTATTAGGCCACGGGAAGTGAAAAGCAAGGGATCACAGATTGTGTACAGTGGAAGGAAACGAATACACATACACACATACAGACATACATCGACACGACACACAGCAACTAGTACTCTCTCAACCAGTTTGTCCAGTCGAATACAGATAATTAAGAGACGGCGACGATGAATGCACGAAAGCAAAAGCAGCTCGCCCCGTGCTACATTGACGGTTGACTGATCATCATCGACCGAAGGCAGTAGTCGTGGTGACAGTGACAAGCAGCCTTTGGCAGGGGAAGGGCTACTGACTTTGTTAAAGAAGTGAGAACAGCATCCCTCGCATGTGCTACACTACGAAACAGCAGTACAGAACCGTGGACCCTTCCAAGTAACCCACGTCGAGTATTACTCCCCACGCTAGAGAAAAGAGGTTGCATTTTGTTCTTAGAAAGGGGATGGGACGAATTTGGTAGTATCGGTAGTGGATGGAATAGGAGGCAGAAGACTGTCAGAGTTGAGAAGTGTTAAAGATATCTCCGTTTATTTCACAAAATTAACGAGGATTTTATATCACCTCCCTCCTTCCCTTAGCCCAGGATAGAGGTAGGACTGCTTGCGAAATCTCTC